GTTAGCTAAAAGGATTGAATTACTTCAGTACAAAGGATGTATTGGTTAATTTAAGTTATATATGTGTACACATATACATATTCATTAGTCAAAACAGGGCTACATTTGATTTAATTAAAAGGTATAATATGTGGTAAACTGAAGAGCCGTTTGGGAGCCAAAAGAGCCGGCTCTTGGTGAGCCAAGCCAAATAATCCGGCTCACCAAGAAGAGCCGGAATTCCCATCACTAATATCAGCATCTGAAGGACACTGCTCAGGAACTAGTTGATGCTCTGTATGTGATGACTACTTCCATTCTGGAGAGGATCACAGATACATGGATCCTGAGATTGAAGCTCAAACCGGGGACCAGTGATGTTTTTCTAACATTAACGGATGACTAGGCTTGGGGACTATGGGTAATTAGCTTAATTATATATTATATAAATGTGTTTTGGCAGCCTCACCAGTCCCTGCAGAAGCTGTGGCAGAGCGGCACCGCCTGGATGTAGGAGCGTCTCTGAGGGTGAGGCCAGCGCGCGGCGTCCGGAGAGCAGCGGTAGAAACATGACACTCGCTTCAGGAAACCTTCACACCTGAAGAGATAAAGAGGGAGAGGGGAGGGGGGTTAGTACTAACATGACATCAGTGTTTAAACCTTCATTGACCCTGGGAGGGATGACGGAGTGGAAATGGTCCCAAGGCAGTTAAAGGTGATGCAGGAATGAGTCGTAAAAATGGGAAATGAGTCAGTATTTTGGTAATTTGGGTTCCCTTTTCTGGAAATCAATGGTTTTTTTTAAGGTCTGTGGTTAACACAAGCTGAAGAGATTTTTTTTCTACCACATAAAACACGTCAGTAAATCCCCCCCTGGTGGATTTTAAAAAAGCGGCTGCTAACAAGTGTCTAAATGAGATGACTAAACGTCATCATGCCAAACATTAGCCACCTTTAGCTTAGCGGTGGTGACGTGAAGTCATGTGACCGTACTGTAGTTCCTTTATAGACCAACATTAGCCACCTTTAGCTTAGCGGTGGAGACGTGAAGTCATGTGACCGTGCTGTAGTTCCTTTATAGCCCAACATTAGCCACCTTTAGCTTAGCGGTGGTGACGTGAAGTCATGTGACCGGGATGTTTATAGCATAACGCTAACGTTGGCTACGTCATTACTGCACCACTCTAAAGTCATCGATGTTAGTTTTGTTATGCTTTGTATTAGCTTGTCTTCATTGGAACCACTATCCAATGGAGTGTAGCTCTGTTAATATCATATTTGGCGGTCGAAGCTCAGTCTTGTCTTGGAAAGCGAAGGGTCATTGGTTCAACTCCCGTTCGGACCATGTACAAAGTGCGAAATGGTAGCTGTAAAGTTTTCCTGCTAGGCACTAATGAGGTGTCTTTGAGCAAGGCATCAAGTCCCCAACTTCTCTCAGTAGCTAAACCATTTGCAGCCCTTTTACTTTATTTATGCATGTGTATGGAGTGCCACAGTGACGCGTCCTAAAACCCGGACGTAAGCTCCTTGGTGGTTAAATGCTAACTTACTTCTGGGTTTTAGGACGCGTCACTGTGGCACTCTATAGGCAGGGCCGATTCTAGAGTATGTGGGGGCCCGAGGCAAACATTCACTGGGGGCCCCATGAACCAACTTTTCATCACCACGCACAACCGGCAGTAACCCCCCCGGAGCGGTGCGGAGAAACAAAACTTAACTTATGAAGCAGCTTTTGAAGACGCGCTATGCATGGGGCACCCTAGAGGGGGTTTCCAGACATGTCATTGCAGTCAATTAAAGGGGGTTTAAAACTGTGGACCTTTTCAAATCGACCTTCTTTGGGGACCCCCTTCTGGTCCGGGGCCCCAAGCAGTTGCCTGCCTTGCCTGTCCGCAAGCGGCGGCCCTGTGTATAGGTATTGTTTGTGCATGTGTGTATTGTGGGTGTATGTGTGCAATGTAAAGTAGAATAACACAAGAGTGAATAAATGAATTCGGGATAAATAAAGCACGTCTTAATCTTGATCACAGACAGATTTAATCTCAATGTTTTTTTCAATCGCCATAATCCTCTGTGTGTTTACAGGCTGTGATGTGATGGATGTTAACAGAAATCAGTGTTAATCAGAGACTGTGAGACTCACTCAGAGCTCAGAGGACCGCACTTGTCCCAGGGTTTGTTCTTGTTGAGAGCCGAGGGAACATGGGAGACGTCCGGAATGTCTTCTTCTGTGCAGCAGCTGTCTGTCAACCACAGGAAACACATGCAGTCAGTCGGGAGATACAGTTTGATATTATCACCACAGGGTGTCTTTACAACATCAAACATGCAATGTTTCCAGGGGTGAGCTGTTTCTAAGTACATTTAGTCAAGTACTATACTAAAATACACATTTAAGGGGACTGCACTTAAGTACTTTTGAATTTACTCAATTTATTTGACAGATTAAATACTAGTTACATGAGAAATGTTGATTTGAACACACATAACATATACAATATTTGTAAAATAAATGATATTATGATGTCGATTAAACTAGCACACATTATATTTAAGTACATCTGAAAAAGTATTTTGATCATGTTTAATTTTTGTAGTTAGACTCCTTAAATCGAAAATGTTCTGCTTCTAATTAATACTTTTATTGACTATTTTTTATTACATGTTTCTGCTTAGAGTAGACCTCTTTTTATATTAATATATCTAATATTTTGTTAATACATGTACTTAAGTAGCCAATCATTCTCAATGCAGAACTTTTACTTGTAATGGAGTACTTTTACAGAGTAATATAAGTACTTAAAGGCTCTGTAAATCCACTCACTGTCAGCGTACAGCCCACACTCCGTCAGGTTGGGCTCTGGACTGGGCGTGGCCTTGTGCTTAGCGTCTTGAAGACACACCCCCTCAGAGTGGGCTCCACCAATCAGAGCGGCCAACAGATAAGCTCCAGCCAATAGCAGTGGACGAGAGGTGACACCCATCTTTACAGCCAATCACAGGTCTGGAAAAGAGTTCAGCACAATGGACAGAGGCAGATTAGAAACAACATATTCTCACCTATGATTCTCACCTGACTGAAATATTGAAGTGCATTTACAGTACTGTACTTAAGTACAATTTTGAGGTACTTGTTCTTCACTTAAGTATTTTCATTTTAATGCATTATCTGACCGCTGTAGTCACAGATTCAGATATTTAGCAAATATTAAAAATAAATAACTTGTATCCTTTAGAACTTTATGTATATTTTGACGTCAATACTTTTGTTAAATTGAGACTCAACATTTTAATTGCAGAACTTTAACGTGAGTATTACTACTTTTTCCACCTCTGGAAGTTGACAAGAAAAGACAAAACAGTTAAAGAATAAATACAAAATTAAATACAAAATTAAATAAATGAAATAGATGTTGGTTTTGGCTTTTATAACAAGAAAAAAAACATAATATAAAATATACATTTGGTTAATTGAGTTTACTTTTATTAACCTGCATTCCCATTAATGTAGGGATGATTGCCTGTTTAATAGAATAGGCCTACATATAAATGACATCCAAAGAAGAACTACCTACTGTAGTGTAGCTACCTGTACGATTTTAAAAACAAACACGTTGGATGTAAAATCCTAATCTGGGTTATTCTCACGCCTCAGTCTTCAGGTTTACAGGCTGTTTATCTCCGTGTGAGCTCTGCATGTGGTGACCCAGTAGGGGCTGAGTCTAATTAGGTGAGACTGGAGCACCGTGCACAAATGCGTAGTTGTTTAATCTGACAAGCGGATGGCCGATGTGTAGCCTAGATAACCAGAATTAAACAAATCTGGCTGAATGGACCTGGACACGTTGCTCTGAATCTACACAACAAGGAAATACGACACATTTCACACACTACAGGAGACCTCACGTGATGGGGTTATAACGTTATATATCTGTGAGATACACTTGAAGTCACACATTCCCGTAAATAAGAAATAGTCCAGTGGAGCCTCATGATTTTACACGACAAATATATGGGATGTGTTTCAGACATTTAAGGGGAAATAGATAATATTCTTAGCTGTTATAGAATCATGAGAAAATACTTGAAAAAATAGAAAATAAATAAATACAATAATTTGATGTAGCCCTGATTGAACACAACAAATACACAATTCTTAGATATAAGAAGATCATGTATTTTCGAGAAGAAAATACGTCATTTCTGGAATAAAAGTTCAATAAAAAAATCAAGATTTCACACAACAAAGATAAAGGATGCATTTCATATATTCAGGAACAAATAACGTGACTATCCTAAGTTATATAGTCATATGGAAACATATGTATATAAACCTCACAAAATCAGGAGGAAAAACTCCAACAAAAAAATAACAAATACATTAAATAATCCGAGATATACGCTAAATAAATAAAAATACAAATGGTGCATTACACTACTTTCACCTTCCAGTTTTAAACCCTATCTAATGTTAATTCGAGGTAATTCAAATGTATTTTTGTATACAATATTCCACCCAAAAAATCAGCTCGCTTAACCTTGAAAATTAAAACTAAAAAAGCAACTTCTTCGTATTTCCAAAATGATAACGTTAATTTCTTTAAGCGTTATTATTTACAATGCAATAATAACTTTTATGTATATGCAAACATGTAGAAAACACGCAGTTGTAAAAAAAACCTCTCTTTTTCCAATGGAGTCTGGTGTAGCTTATTAATGAGTTTTAAATTGCACTCCAAGGCACTTTAGGGTATTTTTGTTTTATCCGTAGCAACACATTTTGTTAACGCACTGTCCTCGTGTACACCTTTTAATAAAGATCATTCAAAATGTGATAATACGTCTGACAAGCTGTCGAATAAAACTGTTCAAATCGTCGTGCATTTATTAATGTTACCTGTCGGTGTTGTGATGAATGCTCCGGATTAGTTGCTTCCTCTCGCGTGCAGTTCTCCCCGGTGTGTCGCTGCGGATCTAGCGGCTGCTCGGTGCTCGGTCTCCTGCTGTCTGTGTGGCCGCTGCTCGCCACTTTGTCACCGGTTTATATGAAGGACATTTCAGTCCCTTTCGAACCAGGCAACTCACCCCCTCCCTCCCCCCATGCTGGGAAGTCCTCTCTCTATCTCCCTCCCCCTTTTTGCACACATAGAAAAGACTCCCTCCTTCCTAATCTCCCCCTGAGATGTTCACCAAATCCTCCTTGTTGACAGCTTTCCTTCCAAAGCCCATGCACTACATATACACAGAGTGCAATATAAAAGGATGTGTTGCCCTTGATCGTGCTCAGGTGCTGCTGAGTCACACCTGTCCTCACCCTCTCCTCAGTCACGCCCGGTCTGAGGTCAGGTCTTGTTCCACATGACAGGGTTAGCAGAGCTGAGATTTAATAGCTTATACTGCATGATGTGCTGAGGACAGGGAACACAAATCTCTGCAGAACAAAACACTGACAAAGCTGCTGCGTTCTGCAAAAAACTGTAATCATATTTTTATAGATGACCTTTTTCTTTCTTTTTTACGCCTCGACAGGAGCTGGTGACCTTGTTTCAGGATTCAAAGGCTTTATTTGTCATGTGCACAATAGCTATACACAGTTTTGACAATGGGAATCTGTTGTCTTCCAGCAATGCAACACACTAAAAGACTTGCAAATAAATACAATCAAAAAGAGCCAGGGACATTTTGTTCCAAGTTAAGTGCGTGAATAGGATTGAAAGACAACAGATTCAAAGGCTTTTCTTATCGTATGTACGCTAACTAAGTCCTAAGCTCTTCCAACAATGCAACATATTATTATCCTAAAAAGAAAGAAGACATGAGATAACAATAAGTACTTCAGTAGATATAATGGTGCAAGTAAGATGCAGGAATAAGTAAACTAAAATGCTTTTATTGTGGATTATTAGATTCAAGATTCTTTATTTGTCATATGCATAATAGCTAAGGCGTTGTTCTGGCAATAAACATTTTGAAACCAGTCTCCTCCGACAATGCAACGAACAATATACTTGACAGAAAAGGAAAAATACATTGGAAAAACAAGGAAACTATGCATGCAAAATGGAATGAAATACAACAGAATGTAACTTTAAATACAGTAGGATACAAATACTAGGTGTTATAGCCTTTAGATATGTGCGCTAAAAACAGATGTATATCATATGTAATGCAAGAAATGCTAACGAAACTTGCAATCTCTGAAATAATGTTGATTATTCTTTCAATTTAGTGGAAAAACAGGTAAACTATGCATGCAAAATCGAAGGAAATACAACAGAATGTAACAGTAGATACAGTGGAATAGAAATACTGAATGTTACAATGATATAACCTTTAGATATGTGGGCTAAAAACAGATCAAGATTCAAGGCTCTTCTTGTCATGTGTGCATAGCAACAGTGCAGCTATGACAATGAAATGCTTAGGTCACAGAATCCTCCAACAGAGCAACACAATCAAACAGATAATAATGCAAGTAAATACAATACAATTGAATATAATAGAAATTGTGCAGAATATTCTATATACAAGTAATTTTAATATTGATATAAATTGCAAACAAATGAATGTTATGGATGTTTTTTCAAAAGTATATGACATGTAATGCAAGCAATGCTAACAAAACATGTACTTTCTGAAATAATGTTGATTATTCTTTCAATTTGGTGGAAATAACATGTTGAATGACGGAGATATACGCTATGAGTGGGGGTTGTATGGAAACATGTCAGTCTGTGTGTTTTTCCACGATGAGTGTATTACTGCTCCTGGCTTTTAATCTCACCTCGCTCTGGACCCGGTGTACTAGGCTAATCCCTCTCTCTCTCTCTCTCTCTCTCTCTCTCTCTCTCTCTCTCTGACCTCCCAAGTCTTTTGGCCACAGAATAGCAGATGGAGAATGTCTTGCGGTGGCCTAGATTCATCCGCCTAAAACTAAGGCTGTGAAATTGGTAACATGCCATAGACATGATTGGTTTTGGCAACAAAAGCATGCCGGGACAGGAAGGAAAGAAGACAGATTGGCCATCACATTTACACACAGATTGAGTTCAGATGCAATTGTCTCAAGTAAACTGAGGATTGTTGGATAAAAGTACAAATAAATGGTAAAACTACTTTGCTTGAAGGTACAAACAAATAGGTAAAATAGTATGCTAACAGTAACGGATAATCATTTAAAAAATAGTTAGCTTATAGTTAGCTAAAAGGATTGAATAGTTGGCTAAAATAAATGGTTAAAATAGTTAGCTTATAGTTAGCTAAAAGGATTGAATAGTTGGCTAAAATAAACGGTTAAAATAGTTAGCTTATAGTTAGCTAAAAGGATTGAATAGTTGGATAAAAGTAAAAATAAACGGTTAAAATAGTTAGCTTATACAAACAAATAGGTGAAATGGTATGCTAACAGTAACGGATAATCATTTTAAATAGTTAGCTCATAGTTAGCTAAAAGGATTGAATAGTTGGCTAAAAGTAACATAAACATGAGTCAATTAGTTAGCCTAAGATAACAGATAAAAGGTTTAAAAAGTTAGTTTAAAGTAAATTATTAACAGTTAAAATAGTTAGCTAAAAGCTAAGAATTAACAGCTAAAATAGTTAGTAAGTTGTGAAATATTAAACAGTTAAAATAGTTAGCCTAAAGTAACAGATACAAAGTTACGGGTAAACAATACCAATAGTTAGCTACAAATAACTGCCAAACAGGTAAACCGGTTGGCTAAGAGATACGGATATAGAGGTAACATCGTTAGCCTAAGGGTTGATGTTGCCAAAAGGACGTTATGTATGTTATCATACTTAGCTGAAAATAACAGATTAACTCTGAAAATAGTTACCTTAAAGAAATAGATAAACAGCTAAAATAGTTAGCTAAAAGGAAATATTAAATGGTTGAAATAGTTAGCTTTAAGTTACCACTAATCAGCTAAAAGAGTTACCTAAAGCAGTGGCGGACTGGCCATCGGGACCCGATGGGCCGGTACTGTAGTGGGCCGGTAGGACGATGTGAGCCGGTCGGATAAGTCACTAGCCTCCCCCCCCCCACCCCCCGTCGACAATTTACTAGCGGTATTTACTTGCGGTACCGAAGTGGGCCGTTCGAGAGTCCCGGGCTGATTTTTAGTCCCAGTCCGCCCCTGCCTGAAAGTGATGGATAAACAGGTAAAAACGTTAGCTTAAAGTATTTTAAGGGATGAACCTTTAGTAAGTAATCTAAAAGTAACGGAAACGTAAATGAAATAGTTAGCCTAAAGTCACAGATAAAACGTTTTTTTAAATGCTGAAAGTAACGGATAAACTGTTAAAGTACCTTAAAGCAAAGGATAAACCCACAGTTATCTAGTAAGGAACAAATGGTTTAAATAGTTAGCTTAAAGTACTTAATGGTATAATAAACAGTTATCTAAAGTAAACGTAACAGATGCTCCCAGATTCCTACTGAACGTTTGAAGGAGTAAATGTGGTCCCTGTTGTCAGACCGTTTCATAACCGCTGAGGGTCGTCACCACAGAGCACTTTATTTTCTGGGGGTGAGAGCAGAGGAGCGGGAGGCAGAAAAATAGCTCTCCATCTGGTAATTAGAGGAGGAATAACGATATCCTTTGTGTGAGAGCTATTCGGGGAAACGGAGAGAGGACAAAGCCGGCCATCGCTGCTCTCTGTGTACCCTTGTTTTCGTTCTCATTTAACAGGGCTGGGTCACTGCTGTCAGGCCTTTAGGCTGGATCTCAGCTGGCAAACAGTCACACAGTCCACTCATTAGCAGACGTTCATCTCTGCCTGCTGGAGTCTTATGAGTGTGTTGTTCTGCTGACCTGGTCAATCTGTACGCAAGCAAATAAGAAACCTTTTATGACAGAAAGAGAGATTTTGTAGGCTTATACTGCAGTGATTTCACACCAGGGTTAGCCTATAATGTAGCCCAGAGGACACTTATTCAACCTCTTATTGATTAAATGAACCTTGCTATCTTTTAAATTGAGTTACGACTTGCTGTGACGCTGAGCTTGAGTATACTTTGAGTAAACACGTTAGCAAGGTAAAGAAGAGTACGCAAATCGTTAGCTCATAGTATTAGCTAAACGAAAAACAGTAAGCTAGAAGTAACAAATGGTCGAAAAAATTGTTGTTAGCTAGAAGTAACTGATAAACAATAACAATAGTTTGCCTTACTGTAAGTAACAGATACACAGTTTGAATCGTTAGCTAACAGCATAGCCGCGGGAAGTAGGGGTGCTGGGGGTCCACCGTGTCCCCGCAGCGAGGCTACCCCGCCCCGTTGACAATTCACGAGCACCCGCCCCCGCCTCCTTTGATAATTCGCCGCACCCCCTAAGTAAAATGACTTCCCGCGGGTAATAGTAATGTATAAATGGTTAAAATACTTAGCTAGAAGTAACAGAACCCAGTAAACAGTTAGCTAAAAGTAAGGGAACTAGTTAGCTAAAAGTTACAGAAAGACGATAAGAACAGTCAGCTTAACGCAACAGATAAACAGCCAAAACAGTTAGCTTGACGTTATAGCCTAACGGCGATGAAAGTAAGTTAAAACTAACAAATAAACAGTGAAAACAGTTTACTTAGAGTGACGAATAAACAGCTAATAGTTAGCTTGAAGTGTCTGATAAACAATTAAAATAATAAGCTTAAGGATGCACGGTTAAAATGTGGTAATAACAAGTGATGGGTAAACAGTGAATAGTTGGCTAACAGTAACAGATAACAATTTAAAGACCTAGCTAAGAGTAACAAATAAACGGCAGAACTGGTAAGCTAAATGTAAATGTGATAAATATATATTTCTTTTAAATGATCTTAATGGTTTTAACATTCACATTTGTTATGGGCCCTGAAAAACATACTTATTTTCCTCCATGCCTTTCAGTGCTTTATTCTGCTAATGTGGAAAACACGTAGCTCAAATGCTAACCAGTTGTTGATATTATATTCCAGTCAGTGGTAGTTTATATTACTTTGAAACAGGAACCACAACAGCAAGTTTTTACTGAAAGGTCGAATTCATTGCCCTTTCAGTTGACAGAAATGTCACTGGTAAAATACCAAATTCTTGGTGTTGTTAATTAGGGTTTC